CTGCCAATTGTCTGTTATTATTTTCCATTATTAATGGCATATTTTACACTTTACATTGAAATAAACATCCGAGCACTAAACAGAAATATATAATTTTTTTGTATATCAATATAAAACACCTCGTATTGGAAAACCCTATATGTATAGCAAACTTTTCAAATTCGACTTATTTTTTTAACACGCCTTTTGTGTACTAATTTTGTGTTATCAATAATATAATCAAATACCTTTAGAATGTTAAAAAATTTTTGATAAAAATTACAATCAAAACATACTCGTACATATATACAAATGTAGTACAAAGGAGTACAACAATACTTGTGGCATTGTTGTTTTTGAGGAATATTATTATAGCCAAGCTGCACCGCCGCTGCCGCCTTTGTGATTTCTGTTCAAAGTGAGTGGGAAGTGGGAGCGCGAGTGCAAGTGCAATGACTCGATGAGGCGAGAATTTTGACCACTTTTTACACAGAGAAAAAAACAAAAACAAAAACACTTTACTGACGACGCATTAATTTGCTTATCTACACGTAGCTTAATCATATCGTACTAAAGCGCGTAAAGTGAGTGTACTTATTTTTGGTGATAAAAATGCGTTGTTCTTGAATGACCAAACAAAAATAGAATAAAAAATGTATAAATATTTTTTTTTAATTTTATTAAATGCGCAATAAAAGAAAGTAATATAACGGAATTATAAATTAATTTTTTTTTTTCACACACACAAGACTTTACACTTTTCCAGTCAAAAGGTTAGACACATTAGTTTCTTGCTCACATGAAAAAGTTAATTTCTACTTGTCTATCTGTCTATTTAGCTCACTAACTAACTTGTAAACAATCGTAGTATATACATATAGGGTGTTTCATAAAGTACGCAGTTTTTAAATTGTGCGGAATTTATTTATTTGAAGACTGCCAGCGCAGCTCCTATCATTTTCGTTATCTATTATCACTCTGATTAGAAGACCATTTAAGGTTATTCCATTTTGTAGCCATGGAGCGGTTCAGTATCGAACAACTTCACACGATCTTTGGACGAGACAATGCCCCGACCGCAACAACAGTTTCGAGGTTGGTACAGAAATGCGTAGAATCTGGGTCAGTTCGAACGCAACAAAACATTGCGGTAGTGCAAGACTCTGTGAATGTGCGATCAAGAATGGCCTCCGAGGTCATGTCACCTCACACCTTGTGACTTCTTTTTATGGGGATATGTGAAGTTACAAGTTGACGTGAACAAACCTAAAACGATTACCGAACTGAAGATGGAAATTCAACGCGTAATCGGCGATATCGGCAAGAGTTATCGCTAATTTGAACGATTGGTAAAGTGGAGGTCGTCATAAGCTCGATATCATTTTCCACCACTAAATTGAAGTATATTTTGAATGGAATTAAAAAAAAAATTAGTTTTGCATCGATTTTGCCTAATTTTTTGCATCTTTAAATGCTGCGTACTTTATGAAACACCCTTTATATGGTAACAAATAATTTTATACATATTAAGCAATTAATTGCTATCCCTAGACTCAATTAATGTAAAGACAGTTTTTTAATAATGGATATATATATTTTTTAATTGAACTTGAGAAAAATTCCATTAATATGGAGTACGCAGAATTCAGTAATTTTAGAATGCCTCGGATTCGCATAGGATTTCTTTTGAATTCTCTTATAAAAAAATATATAAATTATATATTGGTCAAGTGAAAGGTTCTTTCGGGTTTTTATTGATTTTTCAAAATATGATAACTTTGTAACTTAAGTCGTGCTTATTTGTAATTTCGTAAACTTGCTGCGAACGAGATGCCAACTTCATTATACCCCTCTCGTAGAAGGCTGCGTCCCTATTGGCATAAAAAACTCGGAGAGCCAATTTTCACAGGCCTCTCTTGAGGCCAACTTCTCACCATTCAGCGCGTTCGCCATGGACAGGAAAAGATGGTAATCACTTGGTGCCGGGTCCGGACTATAAGGTGGGTGCATTAGGGCCTCACATCCGAGCTCCTGGAGCTTCTGGCGCGTCACCAAAGACGTGTGTGGCCTGGCGTTGTCCTGATGACAAAATTCAACATCTGTTGATCTTCTCTTCTGGACGAATGCTGCCTTCAAGCGATCCCGCCAAACACACGGCCGCTTTGACTTCTCTTTCGACTTGATCAAAGAAAAATGGTCAAAGACAAACTAGTATGTCAAACTAGTATGTCATGATGCGACACGTAGCACTTGTACTATGGACAATAACGCCATCTCTTAGATATAAACCGAACGAACTTTTCACATGACCAACATCATTTCTATAACTGCGGTCGCCACTCGGCAGGGAATGTCAACCCCTCCGAGTGTATTTCTGACATGAAATGAAAGGCTACTCATAAAAAAAAACGAACAGCCGTTCGGATGCGGCTTGTATAAACTGTAGGCCTCTCAATTTGTTAAAGAAACATCAAGACGCACGCAAATTTGAGAAGACCGAAAACTATTTTGCAAATGAGGTAAAGCGAAAATAATTTCTAATCAATATTTCTTTCATATCTTGGAATATTTGTCGTCTTATCAAAATCGGTAGCACCAATGTTTTATTGTATTAATCAAGGAGATTTTATTGCTTGCTACACAATAGTGAATTTTTTGCCGATTTTAGGGAAGTGATTACTACTACTGTTCCACGAAGAAAAAAAGTTAAATATAGAAATTTATTTTAAGGAACGATACTACTTTCCCTCTCTCTCTCTCTCTCTCTTTCTTTTCCTTTAGTTATATTCTTCTAGTCCTCTTAGCTTCTCTTCATACTTCCATCAAATAATGACAATTTATAATATCCATTAAATTTTGATTGATTGTACCGAAGAGAATAGCACAAAAACGAGTAAAGCATGCTTTGCTCTCAAGAGACATTTTTAGAAAATTATATACATTTAACATTATTTTTAATGGCGGAATTAAATGTGACATTAGGTATGGAAAGTAAATATGGCAATTAAGTGTGGAAATCCCAAAGGAATAGGAAAAGCATGTTTCCTTAAGTTTCCAAGTTTATTTATTAAGTTAGCAGCGTACAAATTACTACTTAGGTATACTTAAATATATATTGTATGTATGTATATGTAGGGTTGACAAGCTCTACATCGCCTCAGAGCGACTGCTGTCATCAGTGCACGAGATTTTAGCAAAGATTTTTTCTATTTAAGACAAATATTTAAACGAAGCGTGAAAATTTGATTTTAACAGTATTTATAAATAAGCATTTACGCACACACATATATATATGTACATGCTTATGTGCCTGAATGTTTTATTCTCAACAGAATGGCAAATACTCGCATTACAAAGGGCCGTTGAGTAAATGTCACTTTACTTATACTCATGCGTCCATGTATGTATGTATTGACGGCTATTATGCAAGTGTTTAGTATTGTTGTATTGATTCATTTATCAATTACTCAAAGTAAACTGTTGTGAATCTCTTTTTTATTTTTTCTACGCTTACACTTACACTAAACTTTACAAGTGAGTTACGTATACGCAGTGGGTTGCTGAAAATTTAAAGGAAAATATGCCCACACAAGTTGAAAGTAAATGCAGCGTCAATTATGTCGAGTTTTTTAATGACAAATTCTACGCAATTCTAAAAAAAATACGACAGTCTGTCCACTAAGCATATCTAACATTGCCTTCCGAATGTAAAGGGAGTTTTTTGCAACACATTGGCTTGAAGAAGTATGTTTTGTTTCTTAGATTAATAGATTAGATAGATTAATCGATTTTTTAAATATAATTATTTAATTATATACTATGTTATAAAGATTTGAATTTGCCATTATGTTTTAAAAATGATTCCGTCCAACAGACCGCCACGGATGGTTTGAATAAAATTCAACCGAATGTCGTAGGTCGGCAAATAACGCGCCCAACATCTTCTCCCAATCTTCTAGGGTATATCTGAGTAGACAAGCGTCTTAACATAACTACACAAAACTAGCACAGCGGATGTTAAAACCTGCGATACTGGAGGCCGCTCTAGGCCTACGACGCAAGGTTTGGCGCTCTTCAAACGTTCGACCAATTCAGGTACAAAAAATTCATTAATCATTGCTACATAGCGTTCCACATTAACTGTAACAGGCATCAATTTTGAAGAGGAATATACCAATGTTTTCCGCTGCCCATAGATCACACAAAGACTTCTTGAAGACGTAATGGCGCTTCAACAATGCAACAATTTTCTTTATTAAGGTACCCATTCAACCTAAAGTAAGCTTCACTCGTTGGACAAATTTTTTTGGGCCAATTCACAGAACATTTGACTCACTTGATGGTCGGTCGGCTTAAATTCTTGCACGAGCTGGATTTTGATCCAAGAACCTTCCGCAAAATCTTACATTAAGTGAATGGACACACCTTCTATTGCTGCGCGCGTTGGCGAAAGGACTAATTATGTTGGCCGAAAGCGATCCAAGGTTGCTCAAATTACTACCGCCGCTGTGCGATCAGTCATTCGCGCAGATCGTGATCTGTCCCGCGGACCGAACCACTACTTTGATAATAAACTTGCACGAGTTGCAAAGGCAAACCAAATTGAGTACAGATCAAGTAACAACTCCAAAAAGGCAAATACCGAAAAAAGTATTGCCGCATTGAAAACCACACCTGAGAAAGCTTAATTTATCAGTTACTTATTCCAATACGTAATATCGATGATGATCACCAATCTTAACATCATTTATGACAATCATAATTTCTTTTTTACCACTGAGTTTACACACGAATACTTTTGTTGCTTTTAATGCTGCCATACACGACCTTACACCACAGAGTCGGTACGTCGGTACTTCGCTCCCCTACAAACTAAGAGTTTCGGCAACGAAAATTGCGCCGTGTAAACTCAGTCTAAGAAGAACATATAGTGTACATATGTATATATGTATAATGCAATTAATTTTTTTAAATTACAAAAACATGCATTTCGATGAATGCGACATTAATTTCGCACTTACCCAGCACAAATTTGGCAAGCAATCCCACTGCGGTAATGGCAATTTGACTAGCGATATACCATAAGCCCGAAGGATATCGTAAACGTTGAAATATCCAATCGATATTATAGCCCATAGCGACTTGTTGTTGTTGTTGTTGTTGTTGTAGTGGTTGCTGTTGCGCTTGAGGCTCTTGTCGAGGCTGGACGTGAAACTGATGTAATGGGAAAGCGATGATGAGGATGAAATTTTATTTTATATTTTTATTGTTGTTGTATTTGAGGTAAGATGAATGATTTTGAAGAGAAGAAAAACACAAAATAATAAAGAATATATATTAGTTAATTTAATAACACCAATTTAATTTATAAAATAAATATAGATGTTATTTTTGGATATTAATATTATGTACATACATATGTATGTATATATGTATGTATATATGTATGTACTCAGATATTTAAATATCATTACTTTTTGCGCAATCCTCTGCACTTTTCTGGCTATAAAATAATTCAAAACGAAAACTAGAAATTTTTTATATTTCACTTTATTTGTTGTTACGTTTCGCCCGTTGCACAAATGAAAATGCGAAAATTGCGTGTTGCACAATGAGCGTAGCAGCGTTGGGCGCGGGCGAGTGCTTAAAATAGATTTTTCGTTTTTATTACAAAATTAATATGTATGTTTGTATATGAAATGAAAATTTCTTATGAATGTGAAAATATTTATATTTTGATTTTTTTTTTCGGAGAATTCTTTGTCAGTTGAGGCACAAAGTGCTTAGGGAAATTGAATATATTTTCACTAAAGTTATTTTGAAAACAAAAACACATGAGGTTGATAAATGTTATATATAATACAATATGTACCGTTATTTTTAATATCGTCCCTCCACCCCCACGGCATGCCCTCGTTTACACCTTATCTATTCATCCTCCTATAAGGAATCCCCCACAGTTGCTCAATTGGTATGTGTTGGGTCGTAATCTCGTTAAAACGAGCACGAAATTGGCATATTCCAATCGGCATGGGGAAGCATCATGCGTTCAAGAATATTCTTATACATAAACTGATCCATAATGGTATTTATTTTATGCCAAGATCCAACATCAAGCCGGGGAAAATATCTCCATGTCGTAATATTACCTCCGCCATGCTTAACAGTACCGATTAGAGTTCAAGATTTTCTTCGAACATTTTCGAGCAGCGATAGATTTGAGCAACGAGTACTCGCACACATGTTTATTGCTTTTTGCACGAAAATTTTCGTGAGTGACCACGAGTAGGTCCAGTTGTTTCGAGGATTCTCGAACGAAAATGTTTTTTTTTTTCAAAGGAATAAATATATTTACTCATTTTTAAGAAATTCTATTAATTTTCTGTAACAATTACTGTTAAATGGTTGTCAGCTTACTGGATTTTTATTCTCCGTTCATTGAAAAATACATTCGCTCACAAGAAAAATGCGACTTCTTTACAAATATGACTTTTTCCAAAAAAAATAAAATAAAATAAAAATAAAAATAAAATTAATGAAAATTGTCATCGATTTACAGGCTTATTCTGTTGAGGTAACAAAATTTATCTTGGTATTCAAATTTACCATTCAGTAAATTTTGTTACTATTTCGTATTCTGAGTTCACAGTCACTCTATAATATTTTGTTACCAGCGACATAGGAGGTGACAAAAAATCTGCTTTTTGATTTTTTTGTTGTTAGTTTGAGAAAAAAATAAAAACCAAAATGGATAGGCATATTTTAGGCCTGAAATTCATCAAGAAAAAAGGGTAAAAATACAAAAATTACCCTTTCAATTTGGAAGATAACGTTTTCATTCAGATTTTTTTATATGCATATTTTCCAAAAATTAGCTTCAAATATTTATTTACTTTATTGGGCACCGTCTTCCATTTCGATGTGATTATTCGTCCTTTTGACTTTGCTAACTGGCAATTGTAATTTGAGAGGGACGAAAAATTCAGTGCTGCCAAAGTTTCTTCAAACGTTGTAACCAGTTTGCCAGAATACCAAATTCAATTTCGGGTGTTAAAAAAACAGCAACAAAATTTACTTTACCGGTAACAGTGAGAGTAGGCCTGTATATATCAGAAATTTTATATTATCATTGTTAATTTGCGTAAAAATATAAGGATTCTTGCTTCTATTACATGCAAGTAGCACAAGGAATGAGAAGAGATTTGTCTTTTTCTTACTTTAAATGCGACGAGAATAATGTTTTTTTTTTTTTTTTTGTGATAAAAATCTCAATTTATAAACTTTTACAAATCATGTTGCTAAGATTTAAGTTATTACTGGTGGTTTAGTCCACTTTTTGTATGAACAACATTGCTCTAACAACTTTTAATTACTTTCGCAAAAATCGGTTTTTTATACAAAATATATATACATTTGTATGTATATAAAAATAATTCTGTAACTTATAAAAATTGCTTAACCTATCAGATGTACAACTTTGCTTCCGCCGTTTTCCGATAGGTGGCTGTACCGGCTGAGGCTCGTTGAAATACATAGATGATAATGCCTTTAAAGTGAGTGTGGACAGTGCCTAACGAATTGTCATCGCCGTTTCAGTGACAGTTGTTCTTGTTTTCGTATTATTCACGCTCGAAAATATCCGTTTATGTGCCTAATTCTCGCCATTTGCGGAAAGTTTTAAAAATGGTGATTTCGATGTCAAAGACAAACATGGTGGTGGAAGAGGAAAAACCTTCAAAGATGAACAACTAGAAGCATTGCTTGATGAAGATTCGAGCCAAGCCCAAAAACAGCTTGCCGAATCGTTGGGAGTGAGTCAGCAAGCCATTTCAAAACGTCTCAAGGCCCTGGGCATGATTCAGAAAGAAGGAAACTGGGTGCCCTAAGAGTTGAAACCGAGGGACATCGAGCAAAAGAGGTCAAAAAGTACCTAGAAACGCTGAAATGGGATGTCTTGCCCCACCCGTCGTATTCCCCAGATGTCGCCCCTTCTGACTTCCACCTATTCCGTTCGATGACACACGGCCTGGCAGATCAACATTTTCTATCTTTCGAAGAATTGGAAAAATGGTTTGCTTCATGGATAGCGTCAAAAGAGGACTCCTTTTTTCGAGCCGGGATCGGAAAATTGCCGGAAAGATGGGAGAAAGTTGTCGCTAGCGAAGGACAATACTTTGAATAATATATCTTTCGCAATAAAGCTTTTAATTTTGGAAAAAAACGGCGGAAACAAAGTTGTACACCGATATAGTTGCGGCTTGGTCGGAACGTACCTCACTAATTGGCAAAATAAAAATTAAAATTTTTTTTAACTATGTAGTTTCCCGAAATAATATTTGTTTGCTCTAATTTATTTAAACCACACAAATTTCTTTAAATTATCAAATATAAACTACATAACATAAAAAGGCAGCACTTTTAATTAAACATTCAATTTACAGACAGTCAAGTACACAAATTTTCACAGTACTCGACTTGCACGTGCCATTTAAGTATTTAAAAACAAAAAAAAACCCGCGCAACAGGCAGTCAATATGTTTGTTGTTACAATTTCGGCTTACATCGGTAAAATTGTTCAAATTGCACTCAAACCGCTCAACACGTGCACAATAATTGCAGTCAGTAAGTGTTTATTTTACGTTAAAAACAGTATTTCCAGCGAAAAAAACATAATTTTTGCTTTAACTAGTGTTTTTAATATTTTTTAAATTTATTTTTCATATAATTTTTTCATATTAAAAATAATTTTTTTTAACACTGAGGAAGAATATATATATATATATTATGTATTTTAAAAACGCGACTGCGCCACAAAATGGGCAGCTGCGCATCAATTCAACTTTACCGGCGTGAGAGAGAGTCAAACTTCGAGATTTACTATCCTTATGCAATGTGTACCACCATCGAGGTCGTTCACAGCAGCACACGCATGTTGCTCATACGACACGAGCAACGCCAGCGTAAATACTATATGTACATACATATAGATGCGATGCATGTACGTATGTATGTACATTTGGTATTTATAGCTTGTACTTAGGCGTAAAGCAACAACAAGGTAAATAAACTATGCGACAAATGAAATAAATTAGCAACATTTTTTGTTATTGTTCTTGTTTTATTTTAATTAAATTTTTGCACAAACGCAAGTACGCTCTGTAGACACTCAGTCAATAAAAATGTATGATTTTCCTTCTGCATTCTTTGCGTAATCAATGAACTTAACAGCATTTTAATTAATATGATGTGTATTTACCGTTGTTAAGTGGCAAAAACGCGTACCATTTTCATATCATCGGGTATAAATTGATTGAATTAATTTCGGCAGCACTCCTGTTGCTTTTCCGGCTGCCGCTATTAAGTTGCTGTTTGCCTTCGCCAGGTCGTTGTCGTTGTCGCTGTCGCTGTAAGTGCGCGACGCTTTTAATAACTAATTATAGCACAATTTCGTATGCAAAATAATTCGCACTGAAAACTACGATTTATTTTATACTTTACACATTTTTAAATAAAAGAAACGCATGTGGAAATTTCTATTTTTATTTTATTTATTTTTATTACAACAGCATCTTATGCAAAAAAGGCTTTTCCGTTAACTTCAAATCACTCAACTTTGCATATGCCCAAAACTGTTTTGTTTCACAAATTCTTTTGGTTTCTTTACTCCGAAAGTCGTAGGTTGCACCATGGACGCGCAGCTGGCACACCTATTCCATTCCGCGCACGTCTACACGGTGGGAACTTGCAACAATAACTGATATGCAAAAGCGAAAAGCAACCATTTCAAACAACAGAAATCTAATCGTGCCAACTATGAAATCTCTCAGCGAAAGAGCGAACTTTGCCAGAGTGTGCGTTGGTACGTGCTTTACGTACTTTGTGTAGCTTTTAGTCGTCATCGGATTTGCTGTTGATAGCGCTGTGAGACCATATTATCAACTCATTCACAGCTACACAGCCGATGGCAATGCCAGAAAGATACTACCCTCATAAAATCGGCAGCGTCTCGCCGTCAACGGCAAGGTTTTCTAAACTTGTTGGGCCATGCTAGTGCCATGTCATCGTTTATGAAAAGGGGTGTGCAAAGGTACAGTGGTGGCGAAAAGAAATGTTATTGTACTTTTTGCAGGTTCTCGCTGAAACATAATTGCAATTATAATTGGAATTTAATTTCTATTTCATGTGGAAATTATTCGACCCTGTCTGAAGGCTCCATGAATATTACTTCGCTCAAAGTCTTTCATTGTTCATGGTTCATTGATCATTATCTTGGTATCAGGCATAAAAGTGATTCGGTTTATGAATCACAAAAATATTGTAGTGTAAATATGCTAGTTAACAGACGGTTAACTATTTTTTCAACTTAATGCTCAATTTTCTTGTACTCTACTCTTATACTATATTTAAGATCTTTATTTAAATCTAAAACGACTAAACGATGGCAATTTTTATATAATAACTATTTTTTGAAACAAAATATATATTCCAAATGAATTATGTACACATTAATTATCAATAAAACTAAACACTGTCAAACCCATTTCTATTACTAATAACTTATAATTCTTGATTTAAAAATCTTTCTCTTACTAATAAAAAATAAGTTTTTCACACTTTTCGCTAGGTTTACCTAGTAAATCCTTTTAAGCAAAGGCGGTAAGGAGATTTTATAAAAATGGAAATTGTTATAGAATTATAAATTATTTCCTGTTTTGTAAGAAAGAAATTTATAACATATATAAAAAATGAACAGAAAAAAGAAGTCCGTAACAGTTTCAATCTTATAATAAATATTTGGAGTGGAGATATAAATCTTCAAACAGGTTTTAAAAAGTAGAAAACACAGATGGAAGTAAATAATTATTGATTAAACTTATTTTTACTCATAATAACTGTACAAGTGAACACCTACCTACATTTCAATATAGTATATAAATTGTACACTTAAACATATTTTCCTAAATTTACATGATAAACATATTTCAAAACCCGTAGGTACCTCCTTACTTAGCACTTTCCTTATTAGTAGATGGATTTGCTTCTTTTTAAATTCGTACTTTCTACACATTGCGTTCAATAAATAAAAATAGCACTGAGGTGAAGCCATTGCAAAAGTTTGCATCGATTTTAAAATCAGACAAAAAGTTCTATGTTAATAATTTACCGAATTGCGCTTACCCGTTTAGATGATGTTGGGTATCCGGCAGTACATGGTTTTTGGATGCGCACAAAGGCAGCATAACTCCCACGATTTAGGAGCCGCAAACGGCCACATAATCCTAATCCAGCCACAGTTAACAACATTATTACTGATATGTACCGTGATTCAACAAAACAAAGATTTGAACAATACTAGGCGGCAATGTGATTTGCAAATATCCACACCGAAGCTCCAATGTGCCCCAGTCCAATAGCAGGCAAGTCAATAAAATTTCTCTAAATATTCCATTTGTTGGCACATGCCGAAAACTGCACTAATAAAAAATTAACTTTTATTAATTACGGGTTTTGACATTTTGTTTTGTGTTTATCGTGTATTTTTGTGACACTTTCGTAAATATTTACAATTTCATTGTGAATGAGGAGCGGAAGTGCTGAATTGTGATGTATGCTCCTCATTGATATTTCAACGGCGCCATAAATGTTTAATTTAATGAGTTAAAACTATAAAATTTCAAATTTTTGCTAAATTTAAAAAAAGTTATGAACTTTAATTCAAATACGTAACAAATTAAAAACCATATTGCATATAATGACAAGTCACAAGTTGATTGAACACTAGTTTATCGCCGTTAAATTTTTACACGTCAGCGCAGTCGTCTGCAAAGTCTGTCAATGGCGATTATGAGAAGCACATCATTTGTTAAAAAAAAGACAAAATTTTATAACCAGTGAATTCCATCGTTATTTTCTAAATAACAACTAAAAAAATATTAAATAACAATATGTCGGGCCATTTCCAACCGCTTCGTTCCTCACGTGTGCTGCGCAAAATTAAAGAGATCAATCAACCCAGCGGTGAACAAGTACTCTTCAACCGAAATCCTCGCAATCTAGAAAGATTGCGTATCGCACATAAACCTACCGGTTATTTTCTGGAGAAACCAGGACGTTCGTTTTGGCATAAATTAGAATTGACAGTGAGTGGACGGTATGTAACTGCAGAAGTGAAACATTTCCAAAATGGTCCTATTATCGGTGCAAGCACGTCAGAGTGGGCGATTAAAAAACAACTTTACAAAACAGCAGATACACCAGCATTTGTAAATCTCGCTCGTGTGCTAGCAATGAGATGTCTGCAATCAGGAATAACGGAAATGACCAGCAACATTGAAGCAGTGGCTGGCGGCAAAGTTGATAAATTCCTTAAGACCTTAGAGGAGAATGGAGTTGAATTACAAGAACCAGAACGCTATGTTGCGCCACTACCTTGGGACGCGACGCGACAAGAGAAACCTTGGGAAGTTCAAGAGGATCATTTAGAACAAAAGCAGCAACAGAAGAAACAAGTTTCAACCAAAAAATAAACATACACTTTTGTATTTTTCGTTTATCAATAAATCGTTAAATTTATTCTACATAAAGGTTTGTTTTTAATGCACTAAAGCATAATGAATCTCCCCAACTATTGAACAAAACACAGTTTTAATTCCATAGGTTTATTCGTATTTGCCCTTGATATCGTTCCACAGTTTCTAGAAAAGATAAATAGATTTTATAGAAACTTGTTCTTACATAATGCTGAGGGTTGTACAACACGCATACTTACTCCTTTATTGACCGACTCGAAAAGTTGTGTGGACGCAACATCAAAAGCGCGTTCGAAAAAGAACACTGATGCCATAATTCCCACGGCATATGTCGAGGTCCTTTTGAACAAAGTATTATAGATAGCCTTCATTTTTTAGAATTAATTTAGCGATTTCCAAATTGATTCGCAAAAATTACTTCGTGCTCTTACACAGGCAATTGTCAAATAACAGCTGTTGTCAAATATTTGGTTGTCAATAGAAAGAAATCACAATAGACATAATGCTGATGACATACAGATAGTTATCGATTTGATGTGGATAGATTAAATTTAATTGAATAAGACAAACAAACCTTTTTAAAATTATTGGACAAAAAATTAAACCTTTAATTTGATGCAATCAACAACAAATGCGGTTTCCTTCCAAAAATTGACATAAATATTAAAAAATTAAATCAGCTTATCGACTTTTAGTTTCACTGTGAATTTATGCTACACGGTTTTTGTTTATAGACGTCATAAAATCAATAAAATTACAGCATCCATTTCGGTTTATAAATATTTCAACTATAGAACGGTTCAGTGCGTTAATTAGCCAAATACTTGCTGCCAAAAATAAACCATTTAATTTTTATACATTTAGTTTGAAAAATTATTTGTTTACCCGTGTAAAAATGGTTGATTTAACTAGTTCAACATCACCATTCCAACAGAGCATTCCCAATTTGATATTTCTGATACCGGTTATTGCATTTTTACTAGCTGGTGAGTGAATGTATTCTAAAGCACCCAAATAAATATAAAAATCTTCTATTAAACATATAATGCATGCATTAATAGTAAGGAAAAATGCAGGAAATGCCCATCATCAAAATAATAAATGTTAGTAGTATTTATGGATGTATGTATGTATGTATTGAAGTGTGTTGCAGTCCGAAACCGGTTGCGTATTGGTTTTACGGTCATTCACTTGTTTATTTGCCCAAGCAGAAAACTTATAATATCATTATATATATATATATATTTCTAATCTATTTAATTAATTGATTAACAGTCTTTCCTCATGTTAAACCACCTGTTCTGCTAAATCAAAGCCAAATTTTAACAGAGTGGTTAATGCTTTTCTCGAGATTTTCTAGCTCTGTATAAACTTCAATCGATCATCGAACCAAAAGTCAATTGCACCTTCTCGTTATTATAAGTTTTCTGCTTGAGTACTTTCTGTCAATATTAGTTACCTATTAACCTATAACGGTTCACTCGATTTTTCATCTCAAATCAATTGATCGTTTCTTAATGGAAATGAAAAATTAGTTCAAGTTTAACTTCAACTTTAAATAAATAAATATATATATTTGGAATCCAAGTTTTTTCCAAAAAATGTTTTATTTTGAAAGTCAAACATTTTTTTAGCATTTTAATATCCTTTTTGTGTCCATTTTGATGAGTACATGCTTGTTTATATATTTTGTTATACATACAAGTATGTATGTAGGTACATATGTATGTGAAGAATACTCATACAATATTATTGCTGATAAAAATTTTGCCGGCTACTAGCTCTCTTGAGTCGAATATATTCACGGCATAAAGTATTATCAAACGGCTAGCTTACTATCTTATCAAAAATTAAATAGCATGTATGTTCTTGCACATATTAATATTTATAATAAATCTATATATATATGTATATGTACCTACCTACATATGTATATTTTTCGAATCAATAACTTTTATGGTTTTATTTATATATATACATATGTATTATTTTAATTTAATGTAGTTGATAGAGCCACGTTCTTTTCTTTTGCATTTGCTGACCATCGCACGTGTATTGGTGGTTAAAGAAATGCTGACGTTGTCAAAAAAATATACAAAATAAATATTATTTATTGTTTTGAACAGATTAGTGTTTTATTTCTTTTGATTTCGCTGCTGTGTGTATGTATGTATGTGCATATGTATATGTGTAGGCATTTTTTTTATTTAAATATCTATAGCATACAGATATGCCAATAAGACGTTGTAGGTACCTGATACTTCTATTGACCACTTTATTTCTAAGTAATATCAGTACCTAATTTAGTGGGCTACTACGTGGCTGGTCATTTCAATAACTGTAATTGTTAAATTAGTTAATTAAATTAAATAAAAACACAAATTGTTGCAGTGTGATAATTTAACATTTTTTATTTTTAAAACGTTTTATACAATTATAATTATACTTAAACATGTGAACCTTGAAAACGCAAACAGTTTATTGTGAATTTTTCGTAGTTGCTTTGATTTTCCCCTTTTTTTATTATTTCATAAGTTTATTAAAAACATTATTAAAGTTTATAATTAAAAAAAAAATTAAAAATTAAATAAAAATATTCTCGCAGCCGGTAGGATTCGAACCTACGCTCCCAGAGGGAATCTGATTTCGAGTCAGACGCCTTAACCACTCGGCCACGACTGCTTGTGCCATATATTTGCTTAAGCTCTCACTTGAAATCGCCGCGCAGGCTAGTAATTTCTTTCTTGTGTGAAATAATAGCACATAAATTGTGTTACCAGACCAACTCGTTTAAAAATACTCTAATATTTATGGAAACAAGGCATTCTTTAAAATTTAATTTAATATTTATTTTGGTATGAATAAATATATGTATAATACAAATTCTAAAATTTTAATTAAAAAAGGTTTCAAATCCAAATTGATTAGTATAGATAAAACATACATATTTTCCTCTGATTGGCAATGCGACCGCAAATTCTTATATCGGAGTGCAATGAATACTGGATGAAAATCCGTAACTCATTCCAAAATAACATAGAACTTAAATTTAACATTATGCTCTTACAAATCCATAATATTATACATCAAAACGGAAATATATTATTAATATAATATATTTATATATATTATAATCTTTTTTATCCATTTTAATTTCACTTGAACAGTTTTTCTTATATTGGCAACGCGTGCGTTAATGTCAGTTTCCGTTTAAAGTGTACGCTGTGTAAATATCTAATTTGTTGACGTCTAAATTGAATTCATATACCACAATATTTTTAAATATTCAACTTAATATACATTTAAAAGCATGCTAAATAATTAATGGGGTTTCCACGTAAAATCTGTGTGTTTAAATTAAATGTTTGAATAAAAAATTAATTTCAATTAAAATATTTGTAACCATTAAAAGCTAGTTACTTAATTTGATATATATGTTACTGTAGCGTTAGAGCTTTTATCACATTTATAGAATACGCTTCCCCTATGTAAACGCTCATCACTCCTTAAATAAAAATAAAAATAATACTTTCTTTTATACAAACATGGAGAAAAAATCTAATTATTTAACCAAACTTATATAAAAATTGCATTAGAATTTCGTTAAGGCGCCAACAACAAGTGCGCATTAAACAAGTGTTTCACAAGTCAATCGGTCACAACGAAAAGTGTAAGAATCAAAGACAAAAAAGCAAACTTCATTTTATAGCATATAAAATACCTAACCTACAATGGCTGATGATCCAGTAAATCAAAGGCAATTCGCCGAAGATGTTGCAGCTTATGCCGCTGGTGCAGCTGGCTCGGGTGACGCTCCAACAAATTTTGGCGATCCCAATGGCAACTTTAAAATGCCTAGTGTTGATGAAGTTTGGAAAATCATCGAACAAATGGATGGCATAAGCGAGGAAGAAAAGGCCAATTTGAAGGAGAATCTTTACAACCCCCAAGAAGGTACTACTGAGGATTTTATGCGACGCTATGCCCAAACCGGTCCCGTGCACTCATCCTGGGATTATGTGTTGTTCTTTGCAATGATGGCCATTATTGTATTTGTGTTTGGTAAGCGGAAGTTGTGTGAAGTGGAAAATTCATTGCTAATTGCCGTTACTTAAAATCTAATTTTGAAATTGGAAGATTTGAAATTCTTTTAGTTTTTAAAATTTGTGCTGAGAGAAGTTTTTTGTTTTTAACTCAATGTATTTATCAATTTTTGATACATACTCTTTTGGTAACACCTTCATTAAATATAACATTCATTTCAGATTAAAAAAACATTTAGTTTTTGCGCAGGCCCTCGGGTGTTACCTTTTTTTTAGCTCAACCATACTTCTCAAAGTCGTTACTCACTTTATGGACTACTGTCAAGTCCGACGAGACATGATCAGCGGTGGTAGTTTCATTTGCTGATCTCGTAGGACGCGAAGAAGTGCCCAAGGTATTTTAGCCGGCGAGAAGTGACCCGCCGTCTGCGCTGACTGTCAACCAAAGCTTCTATGTCCATCAGCCTCGGTGGTATAAGCATGTTTATGCTAAAATGTCTGGGCTCAGCGGAAGCAGAAACTATGGAAACTTTGATCGATATATGGAAACTGAATAGGCTTACATACAGACAACCTGAACCCAGTAGGTTCCGCGGTAAAAATCCCATACTCCGAAAAACTAAACAAAGAGCTCCGTTGGATAATGTTCTCTTCCCACTGTTATCTAAATTTTACATTTCGAAGCTCCCTGCACCAAAAGGGGCCGTATTCCTGATCTCATGACACCACAACTAACAACAAAACTAGCGAAATCCTCTGCCACCTTCTTTATCAGCCCTCTAAAACAAACTCATCTAAAACCCAGCTTTTTCCAGTCAGACTCGTTTTGTAGACTTCCCGTTGAATGACCTTGATGACATAGGCAATTTTTTTCTGCTCTGGAGCAAGGCTTAGCTGACCGCAACAACAACAGCTGCTTCGATGGTTAGTTCATGTCGTCCGTATGGGAAGCAACACTTCAGTTTTCAACGTGGTACCCGTCGGTAGAAGCGGAATTCGACGAAGATCTCGGCTCCATCAGAAAGATCAAGTGAAAGATCGCCTGGCCTCACTTCTCGTCTCCAATAGCTGCCGAACGGTCGCATTCGAAACTTCCTTCATTCGTCAGACCCCCTTTCTTCCTGTTTCCCAACAAATTTTAGAAAAATTTTGGTAAGCACCATTTTACAGTAACCATCTGGCTCTTTTCCAATGGAATATCAACTACAATTTTAGATCGGGTGAAGTAAACAGACATCATTACTTTTGCTGCTGACTTTTGTTCCTTAGATTTTACGGGTGGGTTTGCTCCTGTTGGGCTCCATACCATGGAGTGCTGTTTGATTTCTGGATCGTACTTATAGAACCAAGATTTGTCACCAGTAACGACTTTACTAAAGTTGCTAGACTGACCATTTTCGAATTTGATTAGGAAAAGATTGAGCAAAATGCAGTCGAGCCTCGAACAGATTTCTTCGTGTACCACCGATGATTACTTAATGTTCGCGATTCAAGCTTAATTCGTTAGCAATAATTTCTTGTGTCAATCGTGGGTCTTCGTCAATTTTGCACTTCACCAGAGCTACAGATTTTGCTCGACCTTTTCGGGGTTCATTCTCTACGGAAAGACGTCCGGTCTGGAATCTTCAGTATCACTTAGAAATATTCTTTAAAGACGGTGCAATCGTTCCATATGCAATTGGTATTCACTGAATATTTTTATCCGCTGTAAATTACGCCGAAACCCGAAGAGAATCTCATGACGAATAACTGTTTGCTTTGGGTGCGAAATTCCGTCTGAGCTATCCTCAGCTATCTTGCATTTTCTCGTCTCCATTTCAGCCGATCGTTCTAAAATTTTAAAGGAAGACTAATAAAATAATTGGAAAGGATTTGGTTTTGTTTAGATTTGACAAAAACAAATCGAAAGTCACCAACTGACCAAACTTTTGTTAAGCCCCTCTACATACATCTACATACGATTACATTAGTGCAGACATAAACTGAAATTACCGCAACAAATATCAGGGTCTCCGATAAGATTCGAGCGAGTACGGAACGCACACAAAATAATTATGTAGAGCAAAGCTAAAATAGAAATATGCACACACAACATATGTAAATACTTCAGTTTCGAAAACACGCTAGAGAGCGCAAGCCACTGACTTCAAAACGGCTATTAAACATTCGCTTTTATTATTATCTTCCCCACACTAGTTCGTAGTTCGTCTAAACCAATTTAGCCGCCGACACAGCCATTCGCGTGCTCCCAGCGCGCAATCGTCAAGAGCGACAGTCGGTACATACATATACAGTATATATTTTCGTCGGTCTCTCCACTTATCGACCTTACATTTATTAACAGTTGAACGGAAACACTTAACACATTCGTACACAGAAATTTCGTGTTTTCCTCTTACGTTGTACGCGCGCGCTGGTGTACGCAAAAGCTCCAAAACGATACTCCATTAGTTTCTACTGCCACTGCTGCACCCGCACACACACACACACACACGTGCTGACGGCGGCAGCACATGTTCTGACCATTATGGAAACCGGCGGCGGCGAACACCTGCACATAATCGATCAGCTGCAGAGCACCGTACAGACGATCATACGGCATTTCGGCGGTGATAATAGCTATGCACGGCGCCTGGTCGATAAGATACGCGCGGTGCAGGAGAAGGTGGAGTCGTTATCCGGTCAGGAGCGTATTGAATTTTTGCACAACGCTAAAGACACCCTGCGCAATACGATCGAGCATGCCGAGCAAAAGCTGATGCAGTATACACATTTTCAGCAGACCTACAATTATTCGATTGTAGCGGCGCTACTGTTTACCGTGATATTAGTGATTGGTGTGTGTGTTTTTTTTATTTATCATATTTATTTTTTTTTTTTTTTACAAATTTTTTTCATTAAGAAACTTGTGTGAATTTGCGAAAAGCTAGAAAAAAATGTAATTTTAGTGCAAATTTAATTGAGTGGTGCAAAGGTCAGATAATTTTTTGTTTTTTTTTCTATTTTTTTTTTTATTAATTTACTGTTTTTCTTCGTTTATTTTTCGCGCTTCAAAGACTTGTTCCCAACAACAAGTGGTTACACACGCGTAACGATTGAACGTTATTTCATCTTATCTATTACAAATACAAATTTATGAGCTTTGTCATGGCGTGTGCGCGGCGCAGTCCATACACAATGAATTTCTCTCATAATTACTGTGAAAGTTTTATAATTTATTTGAATAAAAAATGTGAAAACACTACGAACTTTACTATCATCCAACAATGAATTACGAGAAGACGTAGCCACACGTTGTTGCAGCCTTGTGAACTGTGTTCAAAAGACCTTAAAGGGTGTTTTTTTTAGACGTGTAGGTTTTAAGAAGAAGAAACGCATATAGTTTAATGTGTTTAGCCTTATTACAAAGCCAAGGGCCAAGTGCCATTATATTTTTAAAATGATTTTGGGCAAGTGACTGCATTGGATGGCTTGAATGAACTCTAGCCGAGAGTGCCAATTTTCGAACACTTTATAGCAATTTGAGTTCGTAAGCCAGCCAAATATTCTCTTCCAAGGCGTCAATCGTCTCGCGCTCATCTGTGTAGACAAGCGACCTTACATATAAGTATTTATATATATATATTTTCGGCCGAGCTCCTCCTCCATTTTGTGGTTTTGCGTTTTAATGTTCTCCCAACAAATGGAGGGACCTACAGTTTATACTAAGCCGCATCCGAACGGCTTTTGATTTACATGCCAGAATACACTCGAAGTGATTGACTTTCCCAGCCGAGGGACGATCGCAATTGCAGATTTAACTTAGTTTTTTATTTAAAATAATTTTCTATATGTTTTTGGATGTTAGTTCGATACCAGGATTTGAACCCGAGCCTCCCGAATGGCAGTACGCAATGCTAAACATTCGGCTACCGCGGCCGAATTCACATAACCGCACAAAAAGTAGTCCAGCGATTTTAAATGGCATGACACTGCCCCCAGCGCGAGATAATGCGCTCACCAAGAGTATCCTTCCACAGTTTTATTGCTTCGTTGGTTGTATGGCATGTAGCGGCACCTTTGTTAGAACCAAAACTCGTTGACATGAACGAACATCGTGCATTTTAGGCACGGGAAAGTCATTAATGATGGCTCTAGAGCGTTCCCATTGACTGTAACATTTATTCATTCGGCTTAGTTTTTGAGGTAATATAGACCAAAGATTCTCTCTCCCATCTCCCTTTGGCCACTATACAGTGCTTTTGCGAATATAATAGTGTCAACCCCTCCGAGTTAATTTCCAACATGAAATAAAAACTCCTCACCAAAATCGATGGCTCGTGCTGAGGCATACCATAATAGGAGTGGAGCTCGTCCGCATATCGCTTCAGCGGTTACAAAAGAGCCAATTATGTATGTATATAAAGATGAAGATTTATCGTAGAGTTCCATCGGAAATGTCTGAATGCTTTTGAACAAACTCCAACTTATCGGAATGAACCTAATAATTGGGGTTCCATATCAGGAAGCCATATTCTAATATTGGCCTCATCAAAGTCCTATAAAATGCTTGAGTTACATAAGGCATGCGTTGCCAAAGGCAAAACCATTTTTAGCTTTTAAGACTGTGGTATTAATATGAAGATGGAGCTTTGGGTCCATCATAACCCCCAAATCAACAAAGTTGAAGACTTGCACTAGACTACAGTGTAAGGAGAAGGTTGAACAAGGCTTCGTAAAAAGCACATGGTCTTACACTTCTGAAAGTTCAAGGCATGTCGTCGTTATCACACCAAAAAGCTAAATTGTCTAGATCGTTTTGGAACCAACGTCTTACGTCGAATGAGGTAAATGACATAAAAAGTTCTACATCATCGGCAAGACAATATATTTGAACGCTTTATTTCGAAAGAGCCCAGCAGATCTAGTTTATGGATGAGAAATGAGGATTAATCCTACCGAATGCTTTACCGTGATCGGTGTTGATGACTTGAGTGCGCTTATTACTTCTAAAGACTCTAGAGATATGTGAAACAATTTCAAACAAATTTGTAAATCTTGATTTTCCTTTAGAAAACGTGGATAGTAGTGAGGACATCGAAAATGTTATCCGACTAGTAATGATTGGCTCAAAAAGCTTTGCAATACCTCTATAATTCTCAATATTAGACCTATAACCACCACTCTTATGTAAGCATACTATAAAAGACTGTTTCCATATTGTAGGGAACACGTCTTGTTTGAGAGAGGAATTTAAAAGTTGAGTTAAAGGCAAAAACAGATTTTTGCAGAACTTTTCAGAAAGTCCTCGTCTTTTTAGAGGAATATTAAAAAACCCTATTAGTATATTTATCGTTAGACGAATACAATTAGTAAATTAAATATGCTATATACGAGGGGGTGAACCAAAGTTCGGTAAGATGACCAGAAAAAGAATAAAAGAGGTCGCTTTGTATTTATTTGTAATCTTTGTTCTTTTTTATCATCACTTCTGGAATCAGTCTTCAAAATCTTGCTTTTTAAGCTTATCAAGTTCAGTATTAACCGCATTAATTATCTCGTCGTTGCTATCAAAAACCTTTGCTTTTAAATATTTTTTAATTTCAGGAAATAACCATAAATCACAATATCCGGCACATATGGTGCTGGACGTATTTCTTCGATCCCAGAGATCGTTACTTCAGCAGTGTGGGATGGCGCGTTGTAATGTTGCAAAAAGAAACACCGCAAATCCTCTTCCTTCCTCTTTTCCAATAAATTTTTGAAAACTTTTAGTAAGCACTCTTCGATGTACCATTTTACAGTAACCGCCTAACCTCTTTCCACTGGAATAGCAACTACTATTTCAGATCGGATGAAGTAAACTAGCATCATTGCTTTTGATGCCGATTTTTGTTGCTTAGATTTTACGGGTGGGTTTGTTCCTGTTGGACTGCTGTTCGGTTTCTGGATCGTATTTATATAACCAAGATTTGTCACCAGTAACGACTTTACTAAAGTTGCTAGACTGACCATTTTCGAATTTGATTAGGAGAAATTGAGCAAAATGCAGTCGAGCTTCCTTTTGGTTCCCATTTTAAATTTGTGATACCCGTCGATCAGATTTCTTCGTGTATCCCAGATGATTACTTAATATACGCCATACAGCCATGGCATTCAAGCCCAATCCATTAGCAATCATTTCTTGTGCCAATCGTGGGTCTTCGTCAATTTCGGACTTCACCAGAGCTACAGTGACGGCATCAACGGAAGATTTTGCTCGACCTTCTCGGGGCTCATTCTCTACGGAAAAACGCTCGGTCTGGAATCTTCGGAAGGACTTAGAAATAGTCTTAAAAGAGGGTGCAATCGTTCCATATGCAATTTGGCATTCACTAAATATTTTTATCCGCTGTAAACTACGGCGAAACCCGAAGAGAATCTCTAGGCGAATTTTTGTTTGATTTGGTGGCGGAATTTTGCCTGAGCTATCCTCAGCTAACTTGCATTTTCTCGTCTCCATTTCAGCCGATCGTTCTAAAATTTGAAAGGAAGACTAATAAAGTAATTGGAGAGGATTTGGTTTTTTTTTAGATTTGACAAAAACAATTTAAAATAAACAATTGTTATAGAAGATGCTGACTAATTTTTACTGAATACTGTTCTGTAAAAACTCTGTCTCTCTGAGAGTCTGCCTGAACTCTTTCTTCTGGAGAGTAAGACATCTTACTCTTTCAATTTCGTTACCAACTAGTTTTTACTGACATTTCTCAACGAACACAGCAGTTGCTGCAACTACCCATCAGCCATGGCAACCAATCTTATGAGAGCGGAAAGTAAATGAAAAGTTGTCGCCGCTTGCCGAGGCCGCCACTGACGGTTGTTCCGCAGAAACCAGCGGCGGTTTGATTTTCTAAAACCGGTTTAGCTCAGTGCTCGCTGTTGTACAAGGTTGCCCGTATAGACTAAGAAAATGCGTAGTTTCTTCCAAAGAAATGTAAACTGAAATTGTAATTAATTATTCATTACCACATAGATGATGTATATTTCATTGGCGTTTATATTCGAACATAAAATTTATGAAAATTGTAGACGAAAAATATACATTTTTTTAAAAGTATGCAGCTGGCAACATTTCGTCGCTAACTCGTGTATGCATATCGCTCTTCCAGTCGGGTGTTACGGCTGTGAGGTATGTAAAATGGGTAGTTGCAGCATAAAACAGAGAAATATATTATTTATAGTCTACTCTGCTGTACTTAAAGTTGCTGCTGTCATTCTCAAACAGCTGTTTCCGCTGCTCTTAACGTGAAAAAGGTCTAATGAATTACAATAAAAACAATACAAACAAATATAAATTCCAAAAAGAGAAAGTAGTTTAACGGCTTTTCAGCATTTTTTTTGTTTGAATTTCTCATGCCTTTGACTTTGGTACTTCGTACTAACGAAAGTTTTGAGATCACAAACGATTTTTTAATGCTAACGTAAACGTAACGTACATACATATGTATATGTATAAGTGCACTTGACATTATATAACGCGTGTACTTTATTTTGTCAGAATAAGTTGAGTGGCATATTGAAAACTGCATTAATATTCATGAACGTTTCTCTGATCTACATCATTCTACGTGATTATCATTATTATTATTGTAATTCATCTTTGGTTTGTCAAGCGATTAGCGACTTGTGTTTTACATATACGAGGTGTGGCAATTAAGTAATTAGATTGATGATATTGCCGCGATTGTGATAACTCTGCGACCTTAAAATTCTCTTTTCCTTCTCCCGGCATCCTTCTCCTCTCCATTGATGTATTTGCCACCGCTCCAGCGTGTTTAGTTCGTATCAATGATGACTAGATACGAAACTCTTTATTCCGTGAGAGCGCTCAAAAATCCGCATTTTTTATAACATTTCTGAACAGTGCCACTGTGATAGAAAAATGACTTTTTTGGATTTTTAGGTATATTTTGGGTATTTTATTACAAACAACGGCGTCTTTAATTGCAATTCCACTAAAATATTTTATTAAGAAACAAGTCAATATTTAATTATATTAAGTTTTCATAATATAATTACAATAATTTCTTTAATATTTACTGCTGAATCAAATTTCTTTTGCAACAAAAATAATGGATTTTTTTATTGACATAGTGGCACTGGTGCATTTTGCACATCAGATGTTGAATGTTCCCCGATCTGACACTGCTGCCAACATTAGAATGTGAGATGGGGGAACGCTCTCAGCTGCAATTTGAGTGATTTTGAGTAAGTTTCGTATCTAGTCATCTTTGGTTCGTATGCGGTGTCGTGTTGAGTAAACGTGTGTTCGTGGTGCTCGTCACGAAAATGGAAAAACGAAATCAAGCGCAACGCGTTGCGATAAAACTTTGTGCCGAATTGCGCGAAACAGCTTCGGAAAAGTAGGCTAAAATTGTTAAAGTGCATGTTGATAGTGCTTTTAGTCGTGCCCAGGTGTTGAGACGGCATAAAGAGTTCAAGGAGGGACGTGAAAGTCTACTATCAAGTCTATTATCTGCAAGCACTCGAAAGATTGCGAAAACGAGTCAACAGCGTGCACTCAGACATCGCTCGTAACTGGATCCTTCATCGCGATAAAGCGCTGTGCCACACCGGCCCTCAGCGTGTCCCAGTATTTGGCCTCTAAAAGGATCGCCGTGTTGCAACAACCACTTTATTCGCCCGATATGCCATCCTGTGTTTCCTAAAACAAAATCGTTGGTCAAAGCAACCCATTTTGAGTCGATTGTGGACATCCAGGCGGTCGTGAGAAGGGTACTGAAGAAGCATGGAAAACGCGCTGGGATCGTTGTATAGCTGCCCCAGGGGACTACTTTGAAGGGGATGGCAGAGTTGTAGAATAATTTTGAAATATACGGTTTTTATGGAATCAATCTTATTATTATTGAATTGTCACACTTCCTATAATACATATGTACATGACTGGCAGAAATAACAGGAAACAGACTTCCTTTGAGGCCAGTTCTTTATCAGCCAAATTGAGCAGCTCATAGTAGATGATTCCATGCCAATCCCACCAGACGCACAACAAAACCTACGCAACCTGCAATCCTGACTTGGAGGCCGTTTGTGCCGGTTTAACACCCTTCGACCACGATCGTTTTCATTTGAAGTTGCTGTAAGTGATTCAATTTTCATCAGAAATGGGTTGATTCGCAGCGGAAATTCGCTCTATGAGGTTTTTCTCTTTAGCTCAGCTTTGCGAGCTACTCTTCTAGGCAAATTTTGCGCTAGGTAAACGTTATTGTGGATCGTATAAACCACTTGGGTCGACCAAGAAGAGTTGGTTTAAATGCTACGCTATAGCCACGTTTCTTCCTCTCTGTAAGGACTGCATCGATTTTCCACCGATATTCTCCTCCAATTTGTGGTGTGCGTCTGAACGTTTTTTCCAACAAATACACAGGCATATACAGTTTAAACTAAGCCACCTCCGAAGAGTCGATATATTCCTTCTATGAAGTTTTTATTCCACGTCAGAATTACACTTGACGGCTTGACATTCCTCCCGATGGGCTAAGGGTTCGAAAAAGAATGAGAGAGGATATTCGAAGAGTACTCGAGAAGTGGGTTTTATTGGGTATGTGGTAAATGTCGTGCGGGGTCTAATTGCCGACAGGATAAGTCGGAGTTGAGCCGATATATAAAAGTAGATGCGGAGTCTACTGGCGAAGAAGTACACGAAAAGTGTTATTTGCTGCATGCTAATTGGTGCTTTTGATATGTTTGAGGCATATACTACTTATCTTTCTAATTACCAACTGTCGCGGGCCCTTTTTGGACTTAAGCCATACTACCGCAGCTACATTATTGATCTCAAAATAGCAGGAGTCGGAGAGGCATTTTGTTTTGTTATTATAGCGGCTTTCAAAAGCCGCTCAAAAGCTGGTATTGGAAGTCCTGGAAACGGATCCGTAGTCGGTTTCGGTTTTGGCTCAGAAGGAGAGCGATGTTAGTTGGTTTTGTTTTAGAGGTCAAGCAAGGAGGTGATTAGTACAGTGTAAATGTACATACATTGGGTAGGTCGGGTTCAAGTCTGGATAAGAATAAAATAAGTCGACTAAAATATCCAGATCTTAACTCTGTCAGTATTACTAGGGTTCTTTCAGGCAGCTTGAGTTATTGGTATGCAATAGTTTGTGATTGGATTCCGAGTAGACTATACACGGAAAGAGAGTTTACGAAAGTGTTAGCAGACTCTCGATCTCTCAAAGCCCGTGGGTAAGCCGTCGCGTCCCAGCAACTTAGGATTATTAACTGTCGGAATTTTCAAGCCATTGACTTTCAGTCCGAGCGGTGCTCCTTCATCCAGCTCGTGAAGAGGATAACCGAGCATTTCGCTGGTTGTAGTTGTAGCTTTTGTAGCAGTCAAGATGTAGGAAAAATCGGCGAGGTGGAAGCTAAATTTCAAAAAGAGTTTATGAATATCCAGAACAGATTCTACAATAATATCAAGCAACAATCGGCATGTGTGATCAAACAAAAGCCTGTGGTGGTGCAAGGCGCTTCAAAATGCACCCTCTGGAATCTCTTGTATAGTTTTGCAGATATTTGAAGTTTGACCTTCCAGCTATATCGTTTGAATGACCACCACTCAGGTTGTTCACGGCCCATCTCTTCAATTATAGCGGTAATGCGGATTCGTCAATGTCCGATAGTAGCACTTAACAGTGTCACGCGCAGTGTCGGTTGTGGTTAAAGCCTTGGACTATCTGGAAGCTTATAACACTAAAAGCGATTATGGTACTTTACACTTTTCGAAAGCCATGTCGATGTGCTGCTGAGTTCAGTCGGTGAGTGAAACACGTGAGCAGTGAGGCCCTAAGGATCGTCGTTACTGTGGAAAGCAGAGATAAACACTGAACAACTCTAGCCAGCTTCCACATACCAGGCATATTCAGAGAGGTAATAGACAAAACACGATGTTTTAGTAACAGCATGCTTATTCAGTTGGGGATGATGGACTTGGAGGCTTTCACCTCTCCGTTAATTCACTGAACCTTTTCCCTAGAGAAATCAACCGGCACGCTGGTGATTGGCAGTTTACTTACGCTGACAGCGGGACACTTGTCGCTTCATTTTTTCGACCGACAGATGCAATGTGATTGAAAAGTCGGCCAAAACAGTTTGCGCTCCCACGAAACGTTGTCACCGGATGAAATTTCTGCTCAGCCATCGCGTCTCGTCGGGTGGGACAACGATTCTAGTGTGGTCCAGAGATGAGGCTGCAGTACCTTAAGTGTTCCAAATGTTCTAATCCACTTTGGTTAATTAACCATTAGTCGACTGAGTTCCTTGATTTGGAGGATCTTCGGTATCAACTAGGCGTAGATAATAGTGCCTCGATGGTATGCAGAGATTTGGCGGATTTCCCCAATTCGGTCAACCCGTATGAAGCTAGCATCAACCGGTTCAATGCATTAGATTTTATCCGGCCACTTTTTCGGAAACTCAACCCCGTTTGTCAATGCTTTTTTAGCAGTTTTCTTTCTATTTAGCCTTTCCTTCACTGTAGAGGGAAGAACTATTTCATTGACATATGTCATACCAGAACTAATTTGGTGCTGACTAATTCTTATAGAAAATTTTTTAAAAACAAATTTGGATCTTCCGCTCGTCAATGGTTTAATATTTTGGAATTAAAAAAAATCTTGGAATTGAAATTTAAAACCTTTTTATTGCTTATACTAAAATTTATTATTCAATTAACTTAATTGCCAATATGTCTATCAACAAATCATTAATTCTTATACTCATTTCCCACTCAATCTTTTCAGCGCTCTTCGGCTACAAGGTATACAAGTCGCTGACGGAGAAGGAGCGTATGAAGAAAGAGAAATTGAAGTCCAAACAAGCCAAAAAGTCAAAAAAGACAAATTAAGTTAGACAATTCAAAATCATTTATTTAAATTGTAATTACTTAATTAATACACAAACAAACAAATAAACAAACATACATACATATTAAACATGACATTCTAAACGGGAATAAGTCAAATTTTAATTTTTCTTTGCTTTTCATGACACTTTTATATATATATTATTATTATGTAACTACATAAAATGTAAACATAATCAAATTTATGTGATTGCACTGAATTAAATTTTTAAACAGAAACAATAACTGTAGTGTGTTTTGAAAACAAAAGAAAAACATAAATATATAAATACAATACATATACGAATTGATTATACAAAGAAACACGCCAACAAACACAAAAAAAAAACAACAAAACGGCACAAAGGCATAAGTACGTAGTATTTTATATAGGTATGTATTCATAAACATATTTCAAATTATAGTTTGTTGTAGTACTGATTGTAGCGAAGAGAAAATGTGTGTAAAAAAAAGGCACTCATGATTTAAAGGCGGGCGTGAGCGTTAAAAAGCAACAGTGTGAGTGTATGTAATTATAAAATGTGGTGTAGAAGTACATACATACATATGTAATCGTATGCCGATTTGTTTGTACCACTTTTTGGCGCCAATTATATATATATATATATACACGTATATATAATATATTGTATATGACATACTATATAAATGACTATTAAACAATTTTCAAATAAAAAAGTAATAAAACAATTAAATATATATTATTTAATACCTTAATTAATTATATGTATGTGAATTTTTCTAATTTTTTTGGGTGTGTATATTTTAGCTAGTATGAGTTACTCGTTCACATTTCTTCTCTGTATACAAATAATTGTGCATTATCAACAGCGCTAACCATTTGTAATGATCCATCGTCGACCACCAACAACATGCAATTGTCTTCAGCAGCACTTGGCAATGTTTCACCCAATGTAAAGTTATTTTCAGTTTCCATATCTGCTAAAGTCGGCGTAGCTGTAGCTGTTTGAAGCAACGCTGCATCTGTGTTCATATCGACCACTGCGTGCTGTACACTTCTATTGCTTTGCTTTGGTATCCGTTGCGTGCCAACATCTTTGCTTTGTCGACCTTTGCTGGCTGTCTTGCGACTTTTACCTTGCGATGAGTGTTTGTTTATAATATGAGTGTTGAGTAAATGGCGTGCAACAAAGGAAGCATCGCAACCATCAATAATGACGTCGGCGCATCTAAAACTGTTGAGCAGAAGTGTTTAGAATTTAGTTAACATTTTTTTTTCAGTTAGTTCAAGTAAATATTTACCGCTTATCATTCATATGGCGTTTAATGTGCATATTCAGTGCGCCTTTACGACCAAACATTTTGTCGCAATGTGGACATTTAAATTCTAACTTCTTCAAATGTTTAGCTATGTGTATTTCTAATGACTTGGCATATCTGGTATTAAAATTACATTCGCCACATCTGTAAATGGCGTCCACATGTACCTAAAATTAGTGAAGAATATAAATAATTCATTGATATACTTTTGCAATGTGTAGGCTTATACAACATACGCTCTCTTCATGCAACTCCATTTGTGAGCGATGATAGAATCCTTTATTACAATGCGTACAGAAATATCTGCAGACACTTTCGTGTACAGCACGCATATGTACCTCTAGGTAGCGTCGACAGCTTATAACTTTTTCGCAATGCGTACACGACACTGGCACATGTGTATAGTCTATATGTTGTTGCAGCGCTTGCTCATCCTTGTAGGCGCGCATACAGTGTGGACAGAGTATATTTTCTGAAAGAAAAAAAAACATTTTTAGGCATCTAATAAATACTTTAATTGGGAGTACATACTGTTATTATGACTACGCGCTATATGCACGGATAAAGACATTTTGGTAGGACATTTTTTATTACAAAATTGGCAGGTAAATTCATTAGTTTGACATTGTGCAATGTGACACTCGAATTCAGCTACGTTCGATAGCTTTTTATTGCACTTAGGACAGCTGTTTGGTTGGTGTAAACGATGCTTGTGCCGTTGCAGGGAATACCATTCACCATATGACTCTTCACAGTCCTAAAAACATGCAATTTAGAAAATAAATTCATTTGAAAAGTCATCACTGCAAACTTACGCCCACATCGCACATCATTAAACGCTTTATGGGTAGGCCTTCTAATATAGCTTGATAATTTTTATGTTTTGCCATGTGAAAACGTTTTCCTTTAGGATTATCGAACTCAGCCTGACAGATGGGACAACTGAACTTTTTATTATCATGCACGCCGGTAGCACGATGCTTCCGCAACGAATCTTTATCCTTAAAATCTTGTGAACAGTATTGACAGCGATAGGATACCATAAGTGTTTCTTCAACAATTTCACAATCGAAGCATTCAGAGCATGATTGATTGGTGTGTTTCTACAGCGAAAAAAAATTTATCTCAATTGAAAGAGAAAAAAAAAAGAATTTTATTTCATTGCTTACCACAAGACTCTCGTAATCACCGCCAATCAAGCCACAATTCAAACAAGTGTAGACTTGCTTCTCGACATCGGCTTTATGCCATTTTAAATGGTTTTGTAGCATTGAAAATGTTGGAAATATTTGCGGGCAAGAGTCGCATTTGTATTCAATTTTGGTATGACAATCTTCCTATAATTAAAAAAAAAGTATATAAAAAAGCCATTATTATAATACTGTTATACATACCTTATGTTTTTTCAGCATCCTTGCAACATGATACATTTTACTGCATTCATCACATTTGAACTTTGGCTTGTTTTTGTGCATATTCACATGCAAATTATAGTTTTCCATGTCTATAAATACGCGATCACAGCTAATGACATTCATAACAAGAAGTTCATATCAATTTGAATGTATAATTATATAGGTAAATTGATTGCTTGATACTTACATAGTACATGCATGTTTATCTGGCTTTTCGTGCGCATAATTTACGTGAAGAAAGAACTCATCCACATCGCAAAACTCTTGGTTGCATATTAAGCAAGCCATTGGACGGCGCTTTGCTAAATGAAATTGCAGGTGAAACAGCAACCTGGAAAGGTATAATAAAATTTGTTAAAATATAAATATTCAAACATCCCACACATTGCTATACCTTTTATGTGAGACAAACTCCTCCTTACAATACTCACAATAAGGTTGTATGCCAGGTGTGCGTTTTAGTTTATGATAGCACGAATGCTTATTCAATTGATGGAAATTCGAGTACCGTAATCCACAAAAAGAACAACTGCCATATATTTTAACGCTATAAATAGATACTGCTGTTTAATAAATTGTTTCAAATTTTACACTACTGTTTTTTCCATACTTCTCCAAATCGCTGTGTGCTAATACTAAATGTCGTGCGAGTAGATCCTCATCGGCAAACACAACACCACAATCTTGTAACGTACATGAATATTCGTCAAACTCATCTTTATGCAACAGCATACAATGTTCCAGCAAATTCTGATACTCCTCAAATTGCTCTGAACAAATCTATAAAATTGTAACATATGTTAGCACAGCAGCTCAACGCTACTAACGTTTACTTTACCAGACATTCGCTTTTCCACTTGAACTCAATTGTTCTCAAGTTACTTGTGATCGCTGCATCTAAATACTCATTAACATTAAGGCTGGAGGAATCGATGCAGTTGAACCCTTGTAGTAAATCAGGATCATCTGTAAAGGATCAGCAGGGGGGAGTTGGTTAATTTTACAATAAGATAATGTTCAATTTTCTCATACCTTTGAGATTCGGAAAGCCGAAATTTGGCAGCTCTTCTTTTTCACTTTTCTGAACTTTAGTTCCATTAAAAAATTCATACTCCTCGTCGCTGTCTTCACTCATTTTGCATATTTAAAAACCGACTGCGAAATCATCCCCAAAAATGTTTGTACTTCACACTCGTGTGAAAAAGTATTTGAGCTATTTATAGACACAACTGCTGCAACAGCTGGCATGCAGTCCTAAAGAGACATCTGCAGGCCACGTAAAAATTTATTTGACACAGGGTGGAAAAAAGTAAAAGAAATTGAAATAAAATTAATTAAGAGACTAGTATATGAGTGCGGGGTTCTTTATTTTGGTTAAAGTTATAATATTTTATGTTTTCGCTTATAAATTTTCGAATAATAAATAATATAACAAAAGGAGATTTATAATCAATATACTTTAAAATTAAACTAAATAGAACTGAAAAACACATAAGCAAAATATTAGAAAACCCGAGATAAAACAAATCAAATAATTGTAATGAAAAATAAAAAAAAATTAAAGGAAATAAACCGTAGTAACAGGAAAAAAGAAACAATAAATAAATAGAAATAAAATCAGGAAAAATAGGATAAAATCTAATAAAATAAACGAAATAAGAAACTATGTTAAATTAAATGCAAAATATTGCGAAAATGTACATAACCGAATTATCACAAAATAAATAAGTTTATATAAGATAATAAAACAAAATAAAATTGAAGTAAAGTAAAAAAAAAAAAAAAAAAAAATTAAATGAAATAAAGTAAAAAATAACATGAAAAAAAAAACAATGAAATAACATTAAATAAACTTTAAAAAATAAAAAATAAAATATAGCTGAAACGTGGTAAATTAAAGTAAGAAATAAAATAACATAAAATGAACTTTATAAACAAAAAAAGATAAAACTAAAACGAGGTAAATTAAAATTAGAAATGAAATAGCAGTATATGAACCATATAAAAATAATTTTAATTTAATATAATTTAATTAATAAACAAATACCCGAAATAATATAAAATAAAAAAAAATTAAACGGTATAAAATAAAAAATAAATAAATAAATATAAAAATATGTAATAAAATAAATTAAAATATAGTAAATTGGAAAATAATAAGATAGAAAAATAAACAATAGTTACGCGGAATATGATACACAAAATAAAAAGAGCAAAAAATGAATAACAGTGAGCAAAGTAAACTAAAATAATAAAGAATAATATAACAGAAGTTTAATTAATCACAAAAAAGTATTAAATTAAACTAAACATTAAAATAAAGTAATTAATACACAATGTAAAATAATTTAATAAAAATAAATATACATCTACGCAAAAAAAAATAAGACCAAATTGAATAGTTAAAAAAAAACAAATAAATTAAGTAAAATGATATTAAATAAAATTAGATAAATTCAAATAACATATACTAAAATGAAATAAAATATCAGAATAAAATATAATAAAATAAAATGAAATACATTTAAATAAAATAACATTAAATGAAAGAAATGTAATAAAATAAAATAATACAAATTAAAAAATAAAACACAACAAAATAATACTAAAAAAAATAAGTTTAAAATTAATATAAATTGAATTTAAAATACTAAAATGAAACAAAACATAAAAAAGTAAAATTAAATAGAAAAAAAAAATAAAAGAAATTTAATTAATATATTGCAAAAATAACAATTCCAATTTGAATAAAAGAAATGAACAATAAAAAATAATAAAAAAAATAGAGTAAATTGAACAAAATAATATAAATTAACATATTATGAAATGAAATAATATGAAAAGCAAAAAATAATAATGAATTAACTCAGGTCAAATATATAAAAAAAAAATATTTAAAAGAAATAAAATACTATTTATTAATATAATTAAGCAAATAAAATAAAAATACACATAATATAATATAATTTCATGCCATGTCTATTACGGCTGCTACAAAGCTTTGCAATATGTGTGTACAGTTGTTTTAAACAATTAATGGAATTAAATAAATAGACCAAAGACTTTTATCAAAAATTTTGACGTTTATTAAATAAAAATCTGTAATCGATTGTGTCAGCTCCCACAATTGACTGACAACAAAAATTTGCCATAATTACATGGTGTAACATACAACTTTTTAATTCAATCATAAATAAGTATCACATAAAATTTACAAACACAAAACGTCTGCACGTACAATCCAGATTACAACCCGACAACGTACGAAAATTATCTTGGACTAACAAAAAAAAAAAAAACATTACACAATTCACAGTTAAATGCACACAATTGTTACTAAATTATAGCTACGAATATATACACACATCAATATGTATATACATACATTTGTGCAACAATTGTTTGCTGCATTTACTGCAACAGGTATTCCCAAAAGCAATGTCTGGGTTGTTGTTTGTGTAGTGAAAAACCTACAAGAGGCCAAATACGAATTGACAGCTGACAGCGATGCCAGCGACGACGTCTCAGTCGATGACAATGCAATATTAACGTTTTGGCTTGCTCCCGCAGCACGGAATATTGCCTGTCTAGTGCCAACAACTATGAAATGTTGTTACAATTTTTGGCTCTTGAGATTTGTTGACTTTTTTTTTGTAATTAATATAGAAATAACAACTAAAATAAAGTTTTGTGCATGGCAAAACTGCTTTCATCCGACGGCACAAATTGCAATTTGGTTAAATTTCTTCATGACGAAATTAAATAGGCGAGCCATAATTAGCTGTTAACGGAGACAGAGTACAAAATTGATAAAGTGGGAAATTGCCAAAAAATGAAAATTAAATAATGTAAATGATTTTGAAACCAAAGACGTTAGTATTTATTTTTTTATATGAATATTATGTATCATATTTTAATCACAGAGAGCTACAAATGCATTCGGTGTTTTAAACATGAATTATTGCGAACTAATTTCCACATAAAAATTATTTATTTTTGAATATTAATGTAGATATGTATGATATATATTGTATTTATCTCATATTCGCGCCTAATTTTAAATTAAATCTATTTTAATTTTGGTTTCCTCAAATTCGTTTCCAATGGCGCTGCACAGGGTGCGCCATATGCACCAAAAACACATAACGGAAATAGTTTCTTTGGTAAAAGTTCACGCCTAAAAGGTGTGTGGTCTATAATTGATGGTAATTAAAATTTTCCCACGGATAGATTCTTTGCGGCGGACTATTCTTCTTTTCTGCTGCCCTGATAGTATGGTTATTTAGTGAACTCGTGCAATCACATCTGTCCGACCGACGACATGCTTATGCGGTCTGAACGGCGATTAAAATTATTAAAGTAATTAAATAGCTAATTAAAAAGCAAAAACAAAGCAAAAAGCAAATAAAGTATGTAAGCGAAAAAATAGAGAACAATTTCTTACAACTTGACCAGTATTAATTTTCTGCAGTTGAAAACTTTTCTCTACATTTTTTTTTTTGCTTAAATTGCTGCTAGTTCATAAATTAACTAAATAATTGTTAATTAAAAAATTATTATCACATTATGAATCTGCAAATGAGAATAATGTACACACAAGGTGCACAAAATACACATATACCATATACTCGCACAATTAGCGATGACACAAACCAATCACATTAATTTTGTCGCCCCACAAAGTAGCGCCTAAAACCATGCTGCATATAATTTGTTGCACATACAAATATTTAGCTGAGCAGGCTGCTCTACATTTGCTGGTTGCCTGGTAAAATTCAAGTTTACCGATTTCGTGAATCGTTTTGTAAAATCGCATGACAATTGAAATCGTGACGTCGATAGCAGATAGATAGGAAAAAAATACACGTGTGAGTGCGATAAGTTGAATGAATTGGAATTAAATTTGCAATACCAATTTGGTGGAAAAATATGCATAAAGGATGGGTTAAAGAAGTTTTATTTTCATTTAAAAGTCGGTTATCATACGATTATGCCTTCTTAGCACACCTGTATAGTAACGAAATCGAGGACGAGCTTACCTCTTACACTTACCTTCCATTTTCGCCATCATAGAATAATCTGGGCATAGATGTTGACCTGAAATAGGAAAAAAAAAACTAAGAAAACTTATTTCGGTGAAACGAATGAAAATATCTGGAATTGTGAATTTTCTTAATGAATAGATTTTATTGGACAAAGCACGCAGAGCAGCTGACTTCAACGTAAATCGACTTCTGTACGAGTTGTAGAGCGAAGGAAGATCTTCAGGAACTTCCCTTTGCGAATGACCTTCATTTTGAAGGAGTGCGAAGTGGTTTTTAAGAACGTCGACTTTTAGACATTTGATCGAATTGAAGTAAATTTTGATTTTGAAATGCAATTAAAAAAGAAAGCCATTCGATGTTGAGCATTTCAAAATTCAATATTTTACCGTTATTGAGTACATCAAAAAATACGGAAAATCAAGAAAAAATAGCTTATACCGATAAATTTAAATTTCCGTTTTAATTTATTTAATACAATTTTTTTACCATAATTATTTTAATTTATTTATTCTTGATTTCATTTTAGTTAGCTTATTTTTTTATTTTATTCATTTTTTTCTAAATTTACTTATGCTATTTATATATTTCTTGTTTTATTTTTGAAAAATTATTAAATTAATTCAAATTTAATTTAAATTTATTCTTTTTCTTTATTTCATTTTATTTCATTTTAATTTAATTTATTTTATTTTATTTTATTTTAATTTATTTTATTTTATTTTATTTTATTTTATTTTATTTTTTGTAGAATTTTACGACATTTAATATAATTTTATTGGATTTTAATTTTTATTTATTATTATTTAATTTTTTTCTGGTTTTATTTTTTTATTTTACTTTTCATTTTATTCCATTTTTTATTTACTTTTATTTATTTGTTTTAATAGTCATATTGCATTTTATTTTATTATATTTAATTTGATTTGATATTATTTCTTTTTTATTTAATTAAATAATTTAATTTAATTTATTTTTATTCTATTTATTTATTTATTTCTATTTGATTTATTTTATTTATTTTCTATTATATAATAGAATTTTCGTTTCTCAATCATTAAAGGATCGGCTTCTCAGAGGTCTTCCTAAAATGGATATCTCTTTTATTGTAATTTAGAAAACCATCACAGCATAACTTCCTTGGAATTTCTTACACTCTTCCCTCCA